TTGTTAATAATAAATTAATTAAAGCAACAAAACAACCTGAAGAGCCGGTTGGCAGCCGAAAGAGCCGGTTCTCTGAAAAGAGCCAGAAATCCCATCACTAGTTGACAAGTAGTCCTGAAGAGTAAAAATGGATGATACAAGCAGTCTGTCTTATGCTCTTTAACATACCAAAAGCTGAAGTGAAACTGAGCGTTAAAAACAATGAAAAGTGTCCACCATAACCAGTGTCTGCACTTTTCATACCGTGTTTTATGATCTTTAGGGTTTCTTTTTCCTCATTTCATCCAGTCAGGGTGAACTCTGCTGTCGCTTTTTCCAACATTACAGTTTGGGATTTTCAGAGGACTGCATGGGAACAAGTTTGCCGGGACTGAAAAACCCCTTTTGGTAGTTCCCTACAGGCAAATACATATGTAAATGGAAATAAATGTACTAACATAAATTAAGCAGAAGGCAGCGACACACTTCTCCTATTCCAGAGTTCACCAGGAACAGAAGAAGCACACCGTGCCGTTCTTGTAACACTGCGTGCATGCATTCACAGCTTATACCATCTAACACACTCTCACGCACATATTCTGGTATGTCAGAGTGATCTCGGGGGTTGCCGTGGAGCTGTGGCTGTCAGTCATAGAGCTGGCCAATCATAGCGGGGCTGAAATAGTGTGGTTTGTTATGTAATCTGCTTTCTCACATCCCAGTTTACCCCTGACCACTCTCTCCTTCCCACTCTGGCTGTCTCTTTCAATCTGGGGGAGGACCTTTGGTTTTCCTGTTACCAGGCCATGTCAATATGGGCACGCTGGCAGAGAACACTGTGTATAAATGGCTCTTGGGACCTATTAGTGTTGGGTTTCAAGAGCAGCTGCTGGACTGACTGACAGACAGGTGTGGTTAGTGAGACAGGAAGCATTGCTTTCTGACAGGTGAGAGGACTTCACTGGTCAAAAAGAGTCCAGAGTCTAGTAATTCCAATTGATCATCATCTTTCTTTCTTGTCTTTGAGTTTCCACGCAAAACGAAAGAAATATTCTAATATGTGGGTAAATTTGCAGTACAGTGCGGGTTTATGGTCAGATTATGAATCATCACTGAAATTCCATTAAAGAAGAGATTTTTATTACGTACTGACATGTTTCATCCTGTAATTAAAGGTTTTTAAACATTTTAAATGAATAATTATACTGTAAACTGAACTCCTCATTAATGCTTTGTTTGTATGTTTCTCCAGGCGAGGATAGCCTTCTTGCAGGGGGAGAGGAAGGGCCAGGAAAACCTGAAGCATGACCTGGTTAGAAGAATAAAAATGTTAGAATATGCATTAAAGCAGGAAAGGTAAGACACAGAATCTTCATAATATATTAGAGGGTCTCTTTACCTTACAATATAACATGTCTTGAGGTGAATTGTGTTGTTGTTAACTGGTGCTGTGTAAATAAAATTCAGTTGAATTGTTGGTGATCCGTAGGGGTTAAACTGGACTTCACACTAAAGGCTACCAACTATAACTTTAGATCACTGCTGATCTTTAAAAAAAAAATCCCGTTAGATCTTTAATTTCCTTATTTTCAGTGCCATGAAAAAATATTTGCTGCCTTTTTTATTTCTTAGTGGGGTTTTTTTTCCTCGTTTGTCAAACTTAAATGTTTCAGAAGATCAAACAAATTGTTATACCAGACAAAGATAATCCAAGTATGTACAATATACAGTTTTGTCACAAAGTTGACCTGTTTGAAAAAGTATTTGCCTCCCTTGTTAAATCATAAAGTAACAGAGATTAACCGCATTTTTTGGAAATCTGCGTTTGATTTCACTAGCCACATCCAGGCTCCAAGAGGGCAACAACACTCCTGCAGGAGGCTGCTAAAGAACCCAGAACAACTCCAGGTCTTACTTGCCACAGTTAATATCAGTGTCCAGGTTTCAGTAATAAAAAAAGAGACTGAGTAAAAATTGCACCCATAGAAGAGTTCCAAGGAGAAAACCACTGCTGGCCAAAAAGAACACAAAGGCTCGTCTCACATGTGCAAAAAGCATCTTGATGATTCTCAAGACTTTTGGGAAAATACTCTGTGGACTGATGAGACAAAATTTGAACTTTTTTGAAGGTTTGTGTCCTGTTACATCTGCTGTAAAACTCACGCAGCATGTCATAAATCATCAACAGTCAAAAATGGTAGTGTGATTGTCTGAGGCTGCTTTACTGCTTCAGAATCATGAAAAGTGCTCTGTACCAGAAAATCCTGGTTTCCAGCCATCAATTCATCCCACTTGGCTTATGCGATGATCCAAAAACACACACGCAAGCCCACCTCTGAATGACTTTATAAAAACACGAAAACAAACAAACCCATAAATAAAATCAAAGTTTTTGAGCGGACTACTCCGGATTTAAATCTGATTTGCTAAATAAGTCATTCATGCTAGAAAACCCTCCAATGTGACTGAATTTAAACAACTCTGCTAAAAAATAGTGGACCAAAATTCCTCCACAGTGGGAAGGATCCATTGCCAGTTTTTGCTGCTAAGGGTTGCACAACCAATTATTAGGGTTTTTTCTTTTTTAAATATATAATTTTTTGCCTTTTTAACTGGCTTTATTGGATAGAAACAGCGAACATCGACAGGAAAGTGGAGGGAAAGAGAGAGGGAAAGACATGCGGCAAAGGGGAACAGGTCGGACTTGAACCTGGGCCGGCCACTTTCAACCATGCGGCATATGGTCGCCTGCTCATCTGACTGAGCTAAACTGGCGCCCAACCCGTTGTTAGAGGACTACCGTATTTATGGGACCATAAGGCGCACTGTTGACAAGCGGGTCTGTGTTCATACATAAGGCGCACCGCATTATAAAGCGCATTTAACGAAACAAATCAGTCAGAAAAGTCAAACTTTACTCAAATTCAAATTCACATGATGATGGAGTCTATAAATAGATTCTAATCTGGAATTGAGTTTCTCACTAGTGACGCACTTATTTGGCAGAATGAGAATTATCTCATGTCAGCTAGAACTTCGACGACATGAAAGACAGGACTGCCTCGCCTAGACGTGTGGTTATTTGAATACGGTAATATGATATCATTGACGTTACACATCTGCTGTCAATAATCCTCACGACGAGCAGTCAGGTAAATAGCAATTGATGCTAACAACATGTACAACAAGGATAGTATGATTTGGAGAAGATTGCTTCACAAGACCTGTCTTTTACCCTATCATTCTAGAACATTCGACACAATATGACGACACATTGAGTAAAAAGAATAAAATCCTGATTTCTCGAGGCCATTTAACACTAAGACATTTTTCATACACTACTTTCTTTGGAACTTAAATAGAACGATGATCACCAAAACATCATCTACACATCATATGACACCGCTACGCTCAATCAGAATGAGTTCGGTAATAAAAAAACAGGACACGAAAACAAACAAACCCATAAATAAAAATCAAAGATTTAATAGAGAGGCCTGGAGCGTACACTCCACGTGATTTTAAAATACTTGATTGTTCTCATGCTATATAGGTATACAAGTCTAATAAGGCGTCTCAATGAAAAAAAAACTGCGCACACATGTCTCATCTGGTGATGCCTAGGGCGAAAGTTTAGCTAGCAACAATACCTCTAATACTCTAAGAAAAATAGACTGTATGTTGGAGATTTTTGAGAGGACCATCAGAGATCCACCACTATACTTCACCGAGTGCGATAGGAGATTCCCAATTTGCCATATCCCACCTTCCTAAAGGGTCTCTAGTCATGCTGTCTCAGGTGGTAAAGAAGGGTTGCAAGAGGTAAACCACAATTATTAGGGTTTTTTTCTTTTTTAATATATAATTTTTGCCTTTTTAACATGGCTTAATTGGGATAAGAAACAGGCACCGAAAACATAGATCTAGGAAAAAGGTCGGAAGGTGAAATGAAGTAAAAGTGGAACTAGAACAATGCGGCAAAGGGGTAAACAGGTCTATATCTGACAGACTTGGGAATCTCTTAGAGCGCAGGCAATCAACTTTTTGCACTAAATCCCTCCTCATTGCGGACTTGAACCTGGGCCGGCCACTTTCAACCATGCGGCATATGGTCGCCTGCTCATCTGACTGAGCTAAACTGGCGCCCAACCCGTTGTTAGAGGACTACCGTATTTATGGGACCATAAGGCGCACTGTTGACAAGCGGGTCTGTGTTCATACATAAGGCGCACCGCATTATAAAGCGCATTTAACGAAACAAATCAGTCAGAAAAGTCAAACTTTACTCAAATTCAAATTTTATTTGTCACGTACACAGTCATACACTGTACGAATAATGCTAGTGAAACTGGCTCGTTCCGGAAAACTGGCTATGATAAGGAAAACTGGTCTGCCTGCTGCACACACATCTAATTATAAAACACAACAAACAAGGAGAGAAGAGGACATCACATTGCACTAGGTACAGATAGGAATAAATATGAAAGATTCAAAAAGGGTAAATTTACTAGGAAGGAAATAAATATAAATTAAGGTAAACACACCATGATAAAACTGTAGCAAAAACATAAACGAATCAATAAGAAAGAAAGGAGCCTAAAGTATAGTGAGAGTATATCAAAGGCTAAGAAAGAGGTACATATAAATTACAAAGTTGAAACATAATCTATCACACTATGAGTAATACAACACTATGAGCACAACACAGTATATGTTGAAATCTTATATAAGAATGTATGTAATGCAAATCTACACATAGAATATATCACACTTCATAAACTAATTCGTACCCATATGAGCAGTCAGCTCTGTAAGACAAAGATCAATAAACCAAGGAGAGAAATGGAGGACAGGAATTATAGTAGAACCAAACCCAGATAGACTTGCATGACACAAACATAACTGGTCAAAGATCCCAAGGAAGATGCCAAGTTTGTGTTTGTCGATTCCAGTGTTGGTAGTTATACGTCGACACATGAGTAGCGCTAAGTGAGGATCCCAGTGATAATTGAGATGAGACTACGTAGATTCGATGGGGGATTAGTTCAGGTAAGCACTCCCTCGTTGCGACTCAGTGCTCTGGTGGATTAATTGAACTCTTTTCTATGATGCCCTCGGGCTAAACATGCTTTCCCTGACCTCAAAGACGAGATAAGAATGAGTTCCGTTGCTCCTCCAGAGGACTGGTGATAGCTGAAGGTCCGCGATCGGATCTGTTTCTGGCACAACTTTCTTGTGTCTACGACACCTCTTTGCCTACTTGTGTAACACTTTTGATGTTGCCATGCTCAGTGGGTAGTCTCGGACTAGCACGGAATGGGGCGCTCAGTGAATGTTTTTTCCCCTGAGAAATACGGCAGCTACTCCTTTCTGTACAGTCTGTCTAGTCAGTGTTTACCTAGGCGATAGGATGCTGTTTCCGAACCAGTTAAGAATGTTTCCCGCCGAAAGCGGAGGCGTTTTTGAGTGAGCTAACAAATGTATGGTAATAAAGTTTATTCCTATAGAGAAAGCCACTTTGTAGGAGGGCGCACGTCGATGGACTGCTCTCAGTTTGAATAGCATCCTAGGTGGTTGGTAGGTCAGCGCATCTGAGAAAATATGAATGTGAAGTGATGTGGGCCTCTTTATTTTCCTCAATCTCCACACAGTTGCAGTTTGAGTTCGAATACAGTGTATCTTCTCTACGTTAACAAGTTCACTACGTCCGGCAGTAGTTGTTATATCATTCACAAGAAGCTGTATTCTATGATCAAGCTGTATACGACCATAGCTAATTTACTTGGCTTCTTTCCACCACTGGGCACTCGTCGTGCTATGAGACTAACATACAAGACAAGTTTGCTGAAACAAGATAAACATTCTCTGCGAAACCTGCCCCTAATAGTGCTGAAACGTCCATACTTCTCGGCCTTCCTTTAGTCGTTCAGACTGAACGTTTGAGATAGGCGAGCGGACTATGTTGCCCATCTAGCAAAGCCAACTCCGGCGAGTATTGCCAACAATTCGTCTTAAATGCCTCCTTCTATCAACGAGAGGGAAATTGTGTCACAGCTCGATACATCCTCAGTGTGTGTTATTGGAGGCCTTGACGTGGAGGACACTTCAAGAGGCGCGCCACCGTACCCTGGAGGGTGTACGATCAATGGGAAACGCACGATAAGATGGATAGCATCAGGTCATCAGAGTAGAGGAAGCATGAAGGCAATATCTTGGTGTCATCAGTCCAGTCATCACTGTGTCTTGACCCAGCAGGAAGTAGTACAAAAAAGCAGGTGTGGGTCCTCTCAGAACACTAAGAACAGTTTGGACTCCGCCACCTAGGACGGTGGTAGATCCCAGAGTGCTGCACGTAG